CAAGGGAAACAACCAACATCTTATTTGCATCCGTGCATATCAACAATGCAATTAGGGCAAACTTCTTAGAGAATTAGATTGAGATGGTAATTAAAGAATTGTGTCATGCATTTTAATGTGATTGCAGAGAAGTAAATTATTTGGTATTGCTATATTCTCTCACTTTAGAATAAAATGCCCTGGGACCTTTAAATGAAAATCCTCTCAAATTTTCACTGGTACTAGGGAACGGATAAAAACAGAAATTACTTGCTTAAGATTCAAGTAACTCAAAGGTTCACTGTATTAAATTCCCCCCACAATGGAGAGTCACTTTACAGTTTGAAATGTGGGCTCTCAGTGAGATTTTTGCATTATGTGTTGGAGTTAGGCCCCCAAACCTGCAGAATGCAGCAAAAACACTTCCATATTCTAAATAGAAATAATAAGCAGTCCCGTGCTGAATTTACTAAAAAGTTATGAGAACTCATAAGTAATCATTGCCCATCATGTCCACTACCTACCTCTACCCAAAGAGAATAAGAGGAGACACTGAGTGTGAACATGGATCTCAGAGCGAAGGCGTCCCCTTCATCCTGGTCCAGTGAGAAAGGTCAGAGAGCTGTGTTAGGAGCATTGACGTATAGCAACATGGGAACCTCGTGAACTGCCTATTGTGACTGGTGGCCTTTGAGTAGAAAGCAATGCACAATTTGCCCAAACCTGAACACCCAGAGCAAGTATGTATGTGTTTTGTGATTTGTGTGTTTCTGAGAAAAGGTCAAACATTAAGGGGAAGCCCTTTCATAATACCTGTTCAGCTCACTGTTTTATTTCACAGAGCAAAGTATCCATGGGACACTTGTTTAGTAAACATGTTTAGTAAATCAGTTCAAACCAGCATTGTAAAAACTGAGAATACTTAATGTTATAACTAAAGAAAATTCTTCTCTATCTCCAATAAATCCTTGGCTTTAGTTTCTAATGTATGAGGTTTCATATTTTTATGCCATCCAAATTTTTGAATTGAGAGCTATGATAACGTTTTGGGGACGGGGCTGTAATAAAATATCCTGATACTATTTTACTCTTGATGATTGCATAAGACATGTTAGAGTGTTATTAACTCTTGGTGAACAATCTGGGGTTGATATTTACTTTTGGACTGACAGATGTTGGCAAGGTTACTATTTGGCATGGGTTAGTAGAGGGACAGTTAATCAGTCAGGCTAGATTTAAGTTTTTGATGTCCCTTTTGCCCTAAAACTCTGTATTTCCATTATTTTGTACTTACAGGAATTTGTAAAACCAATGGCTAATGAATTCAGCCTGTGGATAAATTGCTTGACCTACAATGTGCATGCCATGCTATCCTTAGTTGGCCACATATTTAGTGAGAAGAGAGAAAGAGGATAATTCATAAAACAAAATAGTATGTTAGGTTAAAGTAAGTAAACAAGGAGCCATTAGACTGAGAGGCTCTAATGCCTTGGAAGCTTACGTAAGCAACCCGAAACCTTAGCCAGAGTCAATTCTTGTAAATGCACAGTCAATTCTTGTAAATGCACTTGTGTCCCCCCCAAAAAAAAAAAAATTTTAAGTACAACCAATCACAAATGGCAAACTACACTTTCCCAAATAAGGTAACCACTTAAGTTTTAGCCAATCACATATATCTCCTTGCTTTGCTTCCAAATCGTCTCTATAAAAGCCTTCCCCTGGCTGTTGTTAACAGAGCACTCTTAACCATTTAGGTTTGGCATTGCCAATTTCAAATCCATGCTTGTTCAAATAAACTCCTAAAAAAAAGAGTTTATCTATGTGCCTCAGTTTATCTTTTTAATGCTTTCATGTCCCAATATTGTGCAAATAACTTAAAAGAGCAAACAATAAAGTGTTTTCAGTTCACAATCCCTTCTGAAGGATTTCACCCCAGTAGTTCCATTTAAAATAGGGAATGCATCAGAAGGTAAATGAAGTCTTCCAAATCCAAGGATCTACTTAAAGGATGGCATCAAAAAATGCTTCTCAGAATAAGGAATGGTGCCATTTGACAGAGCTAACAGGGCTTTGGGGTATGTAATAATGGTGAATGCGGCCACAAACGTTGGATCCAAGTATTGGATTTGGAATCATGTGGCAAACTGAGTCTCTCCATACAACCCAATGTTATTATAGATAGTCATCCCACCTGCTCATTGTGTTCTTTTCATTCTCCTATTATCTTAATATAGAGATAGAGATATAATGCATTATAAAATCATATTTGTAATGCTACTCAGGCAGCACATTAATGCTGAGCATAACTCCTCCCATGGATCAGGCACTGGCAAAAAGAATGTAAGTAATCATGTAACAGTCACCAAAAACTTTAGAGATGTATCATTATATCTATATTATAGAAGAAAAACATAAAAGTGCTGGTACATTATTAATTTTTCCTTAATAATAATTAGGTAACCAGATAGCAAGAATGAAGGGAGAGAGATATAAATGTCTGACAAGTGGAAAATGAAATAAATATTGGTATGTGTTGGTTAAAAACCTAGAACTAAGGAATCAAGAAGAATGTCATCAAGTACAACTATGGTAGATTTAATTTAGAAACTAGCAATGCTCCAGAACCCAGAGAATATACAGGAGTTTATTTTCTTAATTTTTTAATTGATTGACATTGTTGGCATCTATTCAGTGATATTCAGTCCTGAAGATGGATAGGTAAAACAAAGGCATGTTACAAGGCAGCATGGTCATGGTCACTGTTAGGGAGAGTGGACAGCTCTGTTCCAGGGTGCAACTGCAAAGTTAGGGCATGTCCCCTTGTAGTCCCATCAGACCTCAGTTTGCTTATCGATAACAAAATCCATGCTTCTTAAATATCAAATATCCAGCATATCCAAGAAGCAAATATCTGATTCAAAACATAATGCAAATAATTACTGTATCAGATATCCCTGGGAAGCAATTATTTTTAAGCAGCCATAGCTATTTTGATTACATGGACATTTTCAGTTCTCTTTTTGCCATGTTTAGCTTCAAAAGAGAAATGGTAGGATCAAAAGAGAAAATGGAGTATTGGTTTCATGGCAAGTGAAGAAAAATTTTAGAAATTCAAGAAGTAATGTAAAAGCAGGGTCACTTTAGCCTCTCTGTCCTGCAGGGATGATATTTAAAGATACCACTACTGTTCGTTTTACTGTGCTATGTTGTAGTTCTTTGTTTTCTATAAATTGCAAATAGTATTGACCAGTCTGTAAGTTGTAGATATAACTGTTCCTTTTTACAGTTTAAACATTGCTAGGACTTGTACAGGTCAGAAAGGGTTAAGACATCCCAGGGTTTTTCTCTATGAAATGAGGTTAACAGTGTTCTGTGATGTGTGAATCCTAGTGAATAACAACTTGCACTATTCCAGTCAGTAGGGCATGATGACCATGGTTGAAAACTATGCAGATCAGGTTACACATGTAATTTTTATGAACAAACTCTCTCAAACAGGTTTGAACCTATTGACTTCTCTGAGTTCCCCAGACTGTTCCTGGATCATTTGTCAAACCATTCTTCTTTTTACAGATTACATATTCCCTTTGTTCCCTTTGATAACACATATCTTGCCATTACTTTCTCCCGCTATGTATCTTCTATATTTCTATTTCCTTTTCGCCTTTCCCCTTTCTTTCATTATTCCATCCTTCACCATAATAAGCAGAACATCACTTATAACATCTATATCTTAATAGTGATTATATTTATGAAATAAACAATATGGTCCTGATTTCTATTTTAAATTTTAAGTGCATTGCAAATGCTATAATCTGTCCAGGGGGAATAAAACCTCTCTACATAACATTAGAGTACACGTGTCTAGTATATAGATTTTGGTAGTAACTCTAATTAGTTTTGGTAGATACTATGATTAGGGATACTCACATTGGTTGAGTAGTATGTTATGGCTAGTAATGGCCAGATCTATGTTTTTGTCAATTTTCTCTCCATTGATATTTCCTACTGATTCATAGTGCTTAAATATTGAGTATTTCAATTTACACATTGAGTCAAATCGTGCTATAAAGTCACTATGTATCAAAATTATTGGAAACATAAAGTTAGATGAATCATGTGTTTTGAGATTTAACAATACTCATTAATTTTTCAAAATATGGCAAATGTTTAAATTACATCTTAGTACAAAAGAAATTATAACTAATGGGATTAAATTATTTCTATACACTATTGAATAATTATCAAAAACCTGTGTTTCTATATTTAAGGCTTCTTATAATAGATGTGGCATTTCTTAAATACAGCTGATGCTAATATTTTACAATTATACTTTTTATGGACATAAATATATTCCACATAGCTTTGTAAAAACTGAGAATACTTAATGTTATAACTAAAGAAAATTCTTCTCTATCTCCAATAAATCCTTGGCTTTAGTTTCTAATGTATGAGGTTTC